GAGCACCTTATTCAGGTGGACAGATCATTGTCTCCACAACAGGAAAAGCAACAGGCTGGCCTGCCAGGCAAAGCAGATTTCAGCAACTGCAAAAAGCTCTTATTTCACCTTTTCTAAGAAACACTTTACCTCTCTAGGCAGGGCCCTGTTCTCTGCCAGCTGTAATCTGTGCGTCCTGCCACAACGGCAGGGACGGCCGGCTGCCTCCAAGCATTCCACTGGTTATGACTGACTTGCTCCAACTTATCTGGGAAGCTCTTGTGATTCAAGCAGTCAACAAAGTAATGGTCATTCATCTTTTATTTTCTGCCTTCTACCATGATAATGTGGTACCCAAACTTTGTTTTGACAGGAGGGTCTGTATACACTGGCTTGTCCATGCTGCTCACAGGCAAGGCAAACGCTGCTTCCTGGAAAGGTCCCACCATGGAGCCTCTGGTCATCCAGCCCAGGTCTCCCTAGAAGAAGGAACCGTCAGGGTTAAGCTTTGTGAATCTCACTAAAACACTGGCTTCATCGGCAGGGAGGGTAGGAGAGGAAACCTGTCCCGACAGGGCAGCATCTGTTGTGGCAACGCGCGCCACCGTGAGGGAAGACAGCGTGGGGCAGAGCGCCTCACACGGGGCTGCCCCTCAGCGAGCACCGGCTGGCTAACGCCGCGGCAGGCGGGGGCTGTGCCCCCCCCCCGAGTGCTGGCTTGCTGCCCCGTGGGGCTCCTGTGCTGAGGGCTGACCCCCTGCCCGGCCCCGGCTGTGCCCTGCACCCATCCAACACCCCAGGCTGTGCTCAGCACCTACGGCTGTCCCCAGCACCCAGGGCTGCCCCAACACCCACCCCCGGCTGTCTCTGGCATCCACAACTGTGCAGCACCCACCCCGGGCTGTCCCCGACACCCAGGGCTATTCCTGGCACCCACCCTGCCTGCCCCCAGGACCCTCCACTGACTGTCCCCAGTACCCACCTGGAGCTGTCCCCGACACCCAGGGCTGTCCCTGGCACCCACCCAGCACCCTGAGCAGAGCCGAGGCACGCTGCAAATAAGTATTTACAGCTGAAGCACTGGCACACGCCGGTGCCTTTGCTTAGCGGTTAAGGCTGCTCTGGACCAGAGCCTGCCCACCCCACTGGGAACACCGTGGGTGCTGTGCCCGAAACTATTGAGACAGCCTTTTTGAAGGCGTTCCCAGCAGCAGTGTCCATCAAGCACGCGGAGATGGACACCAGCAGACCAGGTCCCCCCGAAGGCCACTGTCCCCTGCCTGGCCCCGCTCCCCTCCCCTGAGGGACACCTACCCCTTGCCGGGCCTTGTCCTCGCTGTACTGCGAGGCGACCTCGCTGAAGCGCAGCCCGGACTTCAGCTTCTCCATGGCCTCCATGGCTTTGCCGTGCTTTTCACACAGGATGTGCCGGACCTGGGTGGGAGAGGGCAGCGCAGCGGTGCCGTGGGGGGCCCGGGGAGGAGCGGGGACACCCCCCTGCCGCCCCCGGGG